TTTTATTCCACACACCGTGTCCAATTCAAGAAAAATAAAAGTCACAGAAACAATGAAGCTGATGAAAAAATAGACAATAGGTTTCTTGACAAATTTCTGGTTATTTTTTATTTGTATATCAATTTTCTGTATGGATATATAAGTAATAGTACAAAAAAATCGAAATGAGCCTAAAGTGCGGGAGTAGTCAGTTAACCTTGGTCAGATATATATTTGTGTACATATCCATATAAAGAACTGAATTTGCGTATATATATGTGTGTCTGTGTGCATATACATTCATATATATGAATGCTTGTTTGTGTGATTATATCATTGCAATCGACTGTGGAATGATCCCTATGAGTAAGACCAAAAGGAATGAGGCATATACCAAAAATAAACAATGATATTTCAGTGAATGCACAGTTTCCACATACATTTGTGAGGGGAACTGTATACGGAGCCCTGCTTAGTGACCCTTCCACCTTGTGAATAACTCATGGAATACGAGGAAACATCAGCAATAGTAAAATGATAGATAGCAAAAGCTAACTGTATATAAATCAGACGAATATGCCGGAAAGATATATTTCGTGTATTTTTATTTCTCATTTGAATGTCGGCTTTCGGTCCCAAAACTCAAACGACTCCGACGTTTATCGTCCCTTTTTAAAACCGTATGGCATGCATCGACACATTCGATAGTCTCACCGAACCCGAAGGAACAACAGCGACCACCTTGCAGACACCTGGGCTAGCCTAGACCCCAGAGAGTGTGTGAAGAAATAAGGTAAGGTCATGAGATTATTGGTTTAAGTATTTCGTTTTCATTAACATATTCAGGCATGCAAATTAGGAGAAGGTAATTAAGTGAACACTATTGCTGTATTAATACACACACACAGACACACACACACACATATATATATATATATTGCACATATATGTCAATATATATATTTATGTATATATGTATACACATATTTATACGTACACACGCATATATAGAGTATATATACATATATGTATACCTATATAGTATTAACATGTAATATATATATATATACCTATATAGTATTTATATGCAATGTATATATGTATATACATACGTATATATGTGTGTGTTTATGTATAGATAAGTGAATATTATTACTGTATGAATACGTATATATATATATACACTGTATGCTATATCTTTCTAGCATTATATATATACATACATATATATGCATATATATACACACATATTTATACATACACACAAATGAATAGAGTATATATATCTATATTTATTTATATACCTATATATTATATATATACAATATATATATGCATATATTTATACATATACCTATATATTATGTATATGTATATATGTATATATGCATATATATATATATATTATATATGTATATATAATGTATATATACATATGCTTATATATATACCTATATATATATATGTGTGTGTGTGTGTGTGTGTGTAATTTATATACCTATATATTATATATATGTATATATAATGTATATATACATATATTTATATATATACCTATATATTATATATATGTATATCTAATGTATATATATACATATAGTTATATATATACCTATATATTATATATATGTATATAAAATATACATATACATATATTTATACATATACTTATATATTATATATATATGTATATATTATATATATATATATATATATATATATATATATATATATATATATATATTTATATGTATACCCATATATGATATATATGTATATATAATGCATATATACATCTATATATTATATATGTGTATGTATATATATATATATTATTCACACGTGTGTGTATGTGTGTATTTACACATATATATAATAATACTATATCTATCCTTCTATCAATATGTATATATATATATATATATATTTATATATATGCATATATATATATACATATATATATATATATGCATATATATATATATATATATATATATTATATATATATATATATATATATATATATATATATATATATATATATATATATATATATATATATATATATATATGCATATATATGTGCATATATATGTGTGTGTGCATTAATACACAGATACACACGCACAAGTGTGTGTGTGTGTATTTGTACATATATATATATACATATAAGTATATATATACATATAAATATATATATATATATATATACATACATTTGACAGTATATACACAAACATAGCCGTGTACATGTACACACACAAATCTGCATGCACACTCATGGACACATGCACACATATATTGTATGTATTTCTACACATACGTACGCGCACGTCATATGTATCTCCATGTGCATACATATATGTATACACACCTACCTACATGCGAACGCAAATTTATATACACCTTATACACGTACGTATGACTATATATACACATATATACAACCATACATATGAACATGGACACGCGTATGTATACTTATGTTTATGAGTACATCCGCAAATATGTATATGTATAT